TACTAAAGATGAAGCTGCATCCAAGGGGGTGGTTCAGAACACTCTGTTACCCGCATTCTTCAGTGGATGATGGGATTCTCCTCTTCACTGAGGCCATGTAGTCTTAGGGTCTTAAGTCTGGGAAGCTGGAAATTCTCCCTTTTGTCCAAAATGTCTGAGATACACAGCATCTCAATACCAAACACAGACAAATCAGAGAGGCTGTGATGTTGAAAACCTGGCCACTTGCTGGTATAGTTTCCCCGATCATGAATTGTGTAATCTTGTGGTTCTTGAAGTGTATATTCTGGTCTGTAATTGTATACCATTGTTGTTGTTGTTGTTGTGTGCCTTCAAGTCATTTCTATTTTAAGGTGACCCTAAAGCAAATATATTATGGAGTTGTCTTGGCGAGACTGGTTCAGAGGTGGTTTGCCTTTGCTTTCTGCTGAGGCTGAGAGAGTGTGAGTTGCTCAATGTCGCCCAGTGTGTTTCCATGCATGAATGGGGATTTGAACTCTCTTCTCCAGGCTCATAGTCCAATGCTCAAAACACTACACCATCCTGGCTCATAAATGCCTTTATCTTAATGTTGCTTTGTTGTCTCCGCCTAGACATGAGATTTCTAGATATAGGGCAGAATATTAGTATGATGAGAGATGCAGTAAATCTCCACATGCATAACCTCCACATTGTTACCAGGCATGCTCTCAGAGCACATGTTCTGACTATATACAACTGCAAGGGATCCTTTCTCCTTGGCAAAAGTGAGACTTAGACAAATTGGACATCCAAATAAATGACATCCAAACAGAATTATCTAATGCTGAACTAGATAACTAGAACATACAAAAATCAGAATATAATGATTGCTTTGAGGAATAGCAGATAGGATTGCCAGAGTGAAAACTGGAGAAGGCTCCTGTTTTGTAAATGGTTTCAGTTGTTGTTGTTGTTGTTGTTGTTGTTGTCGTGCCTTCAAATTGTTTCCAGCTTATGGTGAAACATATGGGGTTTTCTTGGCAAGTTTCTTCAGGGGGGGTTACCATTGCCTCCCTCTGAGGCTGAGAGAGTGTGACTTGGCCAAGGTCACCCAATGGGTTTACATGGCCAAGTGGGGATTCGAACCCTGGTTTCCAGAGTCAGAATCTAACATTCAGACCACAACACCACTCTGGCTCTAATGGTTTTATACAAGAAGGCATTTCAGCAGGTAGTCTTACCTTCCTGTGCAGAGATGGAGAGTACAGGAGGTGGCAGGTATTACTGCAAAGTGATTTAAAGATTCAAATGAATAAAATTGCTAAAAGGAGGAAGGCAAGGAGGGAGGGAGAGAGAAATTCAAAAGTGAGGGCAAGAAAGCTCTTCCTCTAAGGTTGCATCCACACTGCAGAAATAGTTCAGTTTGACACCACTTCTTGTTGTGTGCCTTCAGGTTCTTTCCGACTTATGGTACCCTACCATGGGGTTTTCTTGGCAACGAAATTCTGGGAATATTACCGTAGTTTGTTCTGGCACTCTGCTGTGGTGCTAGAACAAACTATAATTCCCAGAATTCCATAGCCTTGAGCCATGGCGCATGGTTAATGGTGTCATATTGGATTATTTCTGCAGTGTGGATAAGGTCTCTCTCACACACATCCTAGAAATGGATTAGGTGGGGAAGCTGACTCCATAAAAAATAAATTTAAGGGTGGTAGAAATCCCCTTTCCTGAGTCTGGCTAGACTTTCTGGAAGAGGTCTTGGGAAATGTTGTAACTCTGATGAGAAGACTGCAAAGAGAGGGAGATCTTGGCGGAGATCACAGACTAACTAAGGTCTTCTGGATCAGAAGTAGGACTTAATGCAAGGGAGGAGGCTATTAAAGTCCTTTTGATAAAGCCCTGGTTCTGTGGGCTGGAAGCGAGTGATTTCAGCTTAAATTGAGCTAGACAGCTTTCACGCACAGTTTTAGCAAAGCTAGGAATTCTTGCAGAAGCAGCAGTAAGAAACACTTGGAAAGGAGAGTTTTCAAAGAAGTAGCCATGCTAGACTCTTGCAACATAAGAAAGGAAGGAGGGAGGAAAAAGAAATGTGGCAGCACCTCTAAGACAAACCGGCTTTGATTGTAGCATGAGCTTTTGTGGCTATTCACTTCTTTGGTTGCAGCATCTGGTGGTATTAACTAACTGGAGTGTGTCCAAAGGAGGGTGACCAAAATGTTAAAAGGACTGCAAGCCATGCCCTATGAAGATCAACGTAGCCCAAGAGAGGATTAAGAGGTGATATGATAGCCCTGTTTAAATATTTGAAAGGATGTCATACTGATGATGGAGCAAGCTTGTTTTCTGCAACTCCAGACAACAGGACCTGGAGCAATGGGTTCAAACTAGAAGAAAAGAGATTCCACCTCAACATTGGGCAGAACTTGGCAATGATAAGAGCTATTTGACAGTGGCAAACGCTGCTTCGCAATGTGTTGGTTTCCTTCTTTGGAGGTTTTTAACTTGAGGCCTGGTGGCCATCTGTCGGAGGTGCTTTCCTTGTGCATTCCTGCATGGCAAGGGGTTGGATTGGATGGCCCTTGTGGTCTCTGTGGCCCCAGAGCTTTCTGATCAAGAAGTCTAAATGTCTCACAAAATGACAGTTCCCAGAATTCCCTAGCATTGAGCCAGGGTAGTTAAAGCACTCTCAAACTGGATTATTTCTGCAGTGTGTTGGATCTATGAAAAGGCCTCAGGTATGGGGCAGGGCTGTGTGGGGAAAACACGTCAAAGTTTGGCTCATCCTTTCTATTAAGCTTGCAAATCTTGGAAATCTTGCATTTCCTCAAGATCTTGCACCATTTTGCCAATGAGCAGGCAAATGAACATAAGAATGACTAAGGTTGAGACAGAGGAGTTTATGGTTGTATTTTGACTAGCGAAAGAGCTACGGTAAATGTTGAGCTAATCAGGCTTATCCTAATGTCTCAATGGGAAGGAGAATATTTTGCTTAATGGTATTCATCACTCATATCCAGTAATTTAATCAGATCTCTCTCTCTCTCTCTTTCACACACATTTGCACACACACACACACACACACACATGCAATGATGCTAGTTAAGGAAGGCACAGTCCTCCTCCCCTTCCAATATGGATGCTGGCTCAAAGATTTGGCTATATAACAAGTGTTTATTGTTGTTTGGAGAGTAGTAGTAGTTTCACACTGAAAATTGTTTACCAGCAGAAGTGATTTTTCATTCTTTTCCTGTATTTCAGGCCACATTCTTTGCTAACAATATAAGGCACCATATA